AAAAAAATGGTCGAGCCCAACAAGAATTTATAGAGCCCAATTATTGTCGGGGTAGTTGGCTTGTCGTATATACATGAAAATCTTTAAGCCAGCTGGGCAGTTTTGTAGCTCTCTTTCCGGGTACCCGTGSGWTCGTTCCAATGGTATTGCTAATGCAATTCTCAACAATACAATCCTCCTCTCCAGTGGTATGCAGGCTAGGTACACTTGTAGGCCTCTGTAGAGGTTTATGCGTGCCCATACTCCTCTTATCGCCTGTACAATTATCTTTTGTAGTTTCACCAGTARTTTGCTTGTCTCCAGTAGTTTTATCAGACATCATCTTGAACCATTCTGGCGGCTCCCTGTTAAACTTGCAAAGGCGGTCTTTGTGCACAATGCGTGGTTTTGCTCTCGGTGACCTTTGGATCTCGAAGATGAGGTCATTAATTTTCCTCCGTACCAAATAGGGACCGTCSCAGTTGCTCTGGAATTTCGGTGTAATCCCTTTTCTTCTCTGTGGCAGGCAGTATCTTACAGCATCTCCTACGTGGTACGTGTCGGCCGTAGAGTCAWCGTCATATCTCCTCTTCATTCTATCACTGGAAATCCTYAGYTTYGCTCTGGTGAAATCATGTACCTCCGCAAGGCAGTCTTCCAACTTCGCTACATAATCATCATAGGTTTCATTCATCTGTGRTGAATCCTTTGGRCGGCCAAATATAATGTCAACCGGTAGTCGTGGTTCCCTACCGAACATCACTACTGCTGGACTAAATCCAGTAGATTTGTGCTATCTTCGTGACTAACCAAATAGAAAATGTGCGTGGAGTCAAACACATTTGGTACAACATTGGTTTATTTCTCAGTAAAGAATTCAGTAAAGACACTTTTGGTTCGACAAGAAAACTTCACTACTATCCATACCCCTGGGATCAGTAACCACGAACAAACTATTGAATTGAGGCATCTTAGTAGTAGTCACTGGTCAGTGCTTCTTCCCCTCAACTCAATGCTCAATTCACGTAGTCGTTGAAATATCATATGAAAGATCAAGTGAGGCTACTTACTAAACGGCCATTCATTTTCTCAAATCCTTTTGGCAACCACTCCCTTACAATCTGTTGATGTAATGAATATTTAGTAAAACGTTTTTAAAAAGGTAAGGTAGTCATGCTGACATGCAGGCTCAGTACTCAAGGTACTCGGCCGTCTAGTTTCCTGCGCGCCGGGGATACAGGGGATACTCTCTCACTGAATGCTGAGTAAAGACTGAACTGTACGGAGCTGGTGTAATCACTCTGAAACCATGAAAATGTCTTTTGAATGGCGGTAGAACGATCAACAATGCATTTCGGTTTTGGAATAGATTTTTCTGAATCCACTGTATGTACATATTATTTACAAACTCGTCAACTTTTCCGTGATCGTTCAATGCACTTAGACGAAACATTAACAAACTATTTTATAACTAGACCTCGGGGACGACAACAAACCAAACAAACAAAAAGAAAAAAATAGACAAAACGAAAAACAGCGCAAGTACAAATAAACAAAACAGCAGCATCTAAAAAAGAAATAATAATAAAAAAAAATTAAGAATTGAATTTTTTCTTACCAGACGTTTACGCCCAGTGTCTTCATAACTAAGAAGAGCCTATAAGTAAAAAATCATTTGGTCATTAATACGCCAGACAAGGAAGGATAACGCTTTAGTTTGGACGTCAACGTCTTAATAGAACGAGTAAAAGTCCGATATTCCTTGGGGGTCCATCTCAAGGTGTCCAAAAAGGAATTCATGCATCTGATGAAAGATGCACCTGATACCAGTAAAGTGATGCCTGTTTTACTGAATTCAATATTCTCTTATTGTGTCTTTAAGACCTCTAGAAGGAATTTTTTTAATTGGATAAAATTTTCGATGCCACGCCCACGTTTTCACTGACTAGGAATAAACTGGCAAGAGGATTTGCCCAGTCCTAGACCGTTGTTAACTCGCTCCGTTGAGATTTTGGTAGCGATACAAAGGGTCAAGGAGAACTTCCATGTAGAGTAAGTAACGCGTGCTGTGATTATACTTGAAAATGTTGGTTTTCCTTTTTGTACAAAGTTTAGAATTGTTTGACGACATTCTTTTTCACTTAAAACGCAGTTAAAACTGTTCTGGTTGCAAAGGTGTTCCTTTGTTGGCTCATTTGAAAGAAAAACATTAAAAACTCTTGCAATAAGAGTATATTCAATATGTAATGTATATAAGTATATTTCGAGCTCCCGCGCGCGAGTCACCACAGCTAACAAAAAATGGTATATCCATCGAGTCCATTTTTCATGGACCGACAGAGGGTTCCCGCGAGTACGCACGTTTCCGTCCGGGTGTCCGTGTACCACCACAGGAAACCCATACTTCGCTTGAAAAGGAAAAAGTTGTTATGGCCTATACAATAGGCAGAGGCATTTTAATCAACTTTTTAAAAAACTTACCAACTGTTTTTTGGGAACATTGTTGTACTCAGCAATTAATTTTTTGGCCCATGGCATCTGAAATACATTGAAAAAGGTCTCATTAAGCCTAATGACCATACAATCGTCACAATCGATTTTTTTTCCTTAATTGTTTTTATTTCCGAAGAAACAGTAACAATGCAAAACGCGACAAGGCGATTGGGACTTTTCGAAACATGCGGGGAGCGAGGCCATACCGAAACGATCAAACTCTTGTTGTGTGTCTGGCTACTCCTCAGGAAGTGATCTGAGTAATGTTCGATTCAGGCCGATATTTATTTATGGTTGGCATAGCTATGAAATATTTCTAACTGGCTTCCTGCAAAAACACAACTTCTTTTTAAAATGGCGAAGAGACTCTAAAATAGGTGTTGCAGATGTTACCGATAATCGCCTCGATAAAACACGCTTTGAGGTACGTGGTCGAGAAGAAAGTCGTGATGGCCTAACCAATAGGCAGAGGCATTGAAACTTACCAGCTCTTTGATGGGACTTTTTTTCATATCAGCAATCCATGTTTTTAACCATGGCTTCTGAAATGCAGTGAAAAAGGTCTCATTAAGCCTAATGATCATACAGTCGTCTCAATCGAATTTTTTTTCCTTAATTGTTTTTTCCCTCGAGTTAACAATAACAATGCAAAACGCGATAAGGAGATTGGGACACTGTGGGACGTACGCTCGGGATGTTGCGAAAGATGCATACCGTAATGATCAAATTCTTGTATTGAGTATCGCTACTTCTCAGGAAGTGAGTAATATGCGATTCAAGCCAATATTTTCATGGTGGGCATAGCCATGAAATTATTTTTAATCGGCTTTCCTGCAAAAACACGACTACTTTTCAACATGGCGAGGAGACTCTAAAATAGGTGTTGCAGATAATGTTACCGATAATCGCCTCGATAAAACACGCTTTGAGGTACGTGGTCGAGAAGAAAGTCGTGATGGCCTAATCAATACGCAGAGGCATTGAAACTTACCAATTTTTTGTTCTCAGCAATCAAGTTGGCGACGGATTCCATCTGAAATACATTGAAAAAGGTCTCATTAATGCTAATGACCATACAATCGTCACAATCAATTTTGTTTCCTTATTTCCTCGTGGAAACAATAGAGTGCACGTCACATAAGCATGAAACAATTCTTAACTAATTAGCGCCTAATAAGATTTAGTTATCAACTAACTAAGAGTTTAGTGAGGCATAAACAAAGACAAGTTTCCTTTCTGGCATTGTGTTCATGCCCCAGTGAATTCTTAGTTAGTTGATAACTAAATCTTATTAGGCGCTAATTAGTTAAGAATTGTTTCATGCTTATGTGACGTGCACTCTAACAATGAAAACGCGATAAGGCGATTGGGATGTTTCGGGAACGGTTTTATGGATAGTCATCACTGAGCTGCTTCTGCGTTTCGTAGATAGTAATCGGTGATGACATTTACGATGTTTTTAAAACAGTTCAAACTAAATCCACGGCACTTTGATAACCACTCTTTTTCATCAGTTATATTGTATTTGGTTTATTTTTGATCAAAGTGCAACCTCACGATTTTTTTTAATCTTTAAAATAATTCTTACGAACCTTAAAATAATTTCTGTGTTGGTTTGGTGATTATTTTGTAAACGGTTGGGACGGAATCGAAAAAATAAGGCCAAAATTCCAAATTATTTTGTCCGAGCGGGCACTGGCGCGACTCTTGTGACGTCATCCCAGGCCATAACTTCGGTCACAAAAGACTAAATGCCTTATGAAAGTCTATTTTTCTCTCAAAAATCAATAAAACCGCTAAGATTGAATGTATCAAACCGTTTTATATTCACTGAGAATTGTCAAGCGCTTGCCGTGAACTCAGTAGATTTAAATTTCAGCAAATTCCTTGTCCTTGACACAGAATACGAAATAGTCATTTGAGGCACTTCGAAATTTTTACCTCGCGATAGACTATGTATACATACACGGCACGCAGTCTAAATTTCTCGAGAAAATGAAATATAAAACAACCACGATCACAGATATGAAAATATTCTTCCTTTGCAGAGAAATGTCAAGCGCTSAGCTTGATCGGCGGTTTCAAAATCGGGGAAATACGATGCCCGACACTCATTATTTTGAACTGAAAACAACTAACACTCTACGCTTTGCTTCTGGATCGCTTGGAAAGCGCTTAATAATGTTTCAAGAACGAAAGAGTGTTAATTTGTGGATTCGTAGTCGTTTCATTTCATGAAATTAGAAAAGCGCTTGAAATGAAGAATATTTTCAGTCGTGTGTTTGCCTTATCGTACTTGTTTATTTCATTTTCTCGACTGCGAGAAGTTTAGACTGCCAGCCATAGAGAACTTTGCCTCAAATGACTAATGGCTGTTTTGCGTATTTTGTGCCGCGGTCAAAAGAATTTGCTAAAATTCCAGCCCTATCTAGTAAACGAGTTCACGGCAGGCGCTTGACATTTCTCAATAAATATATAGCGGTATGGTTGCATTTGGCACGCTTGATTTTGACAAAGTCGAGCCACTTCTTCCGTCTCTTCTTTGCTTCGCGGGGTCGTCGAAAAGGTATAACTTGATAACTTGAAGGTCGATTCCCTTCAAAACATCTGGCCTGTTACTGCAGCCGCCAACAACGCACTTGATGGGCATTTCATTCGCGAAAGAGCATAAAAATCGATGTTAAATAAGATTTTTGGAAAAAAATCGATGTTAAATAAGATTTTTGTCAAGCTTCGATAACAACAAATGCCTTGTCCTGGGATGACGTCAGAGTCAGTCCCAGTCTTTCCCGGTATTGAGACAAAAAAAAAGAGCTCAAAGTGAACATTTTCCTATGTTTATAAGCTCACCAAAAATTCGCTTTTCTATAAAAATGAAACCTTTTTTCACAGATATGTTTCCATTAACCTCAATTTTCATTTTAAAGACTAAAAAAAAAAAAATCGTGAAGGTGCACTTTAAGTGTCAGTGCTTAAATCACATATAGCCCCTGACCGGGAATTCAACCTTGCTTCTTTATAAAAAGTGTCAGCTATAATTAGACATAATCAAGCCGCCAATGGCAACACAACTCGATTGATTGTGTAGACGAATACGGAACGATACGATGAATCAAATTATAATTACTTAACAAATACAATTTATGAAAATAGTTTTTTCCGTTAAAATCTTATTATTTTAACTTCGGTTCAATATAAGCACGGGCGAGCGCCGACGATATAAATCCCAGTCTAGCCACAACTATGTAGAATTTGAGATCGTAGCTCAATGGATAAAACAAGGTCATTATATCCAATAGTCCCGGGTTCTATTCCTAGGGAACGATAATGTGTTTTGATTTCTTTAATTCTTTATTTGAAAAACATTTAATCAAATATAGCACAGGGAACCCGAAAAATTAACGGACAACAGCCGACTTTTGCCTAAGGAGTCACACACAAAGGAATCAAGACGAGGCGCCGTGCTCGGCGACAATAAGACAATGGTTTTTCACAATTGACTGAGTTTTGACCTGATCTTCCAACCCCCCACCCCTCAGAAGTCTAATGGATGGCCCCTACCGTGTCTTCAAACAAAAGTCGCTCTTAGTGCGCATATGGTTACTCCAAAAGTCGACTGGTATAAAAGATAAATTGGAACACCAACACTGTACGTCTTTGAATACATAAAGTGAGGACTACATCTGTAAACTAGAAGTTGACATCAACATTGTAACTCTTTGTACACCAGTGAAAAAGTGTGTAAATTAGTATCTCAGTATTCACAACTAAATAGTTGGGCTCAAATATCCACTTTTGTTTGTTGGCATTTGGTTTGGTTGTTGGTTGTTTGGGTAGGTCTTCGGTATACCAAGCAATCCTCTAGTTGTGTCGCCATCGGGGCTTGATTTGTTAACTTACCTCACGAAGGATATCATTTGGATCTGAGAATACCGTCACCTGTAAACGTCAACGAGGAAAGATAATTCATATCTATTTTGTATTTGCTTTCTGTTGTCAGTTGACAATGCCGTATCACTAATGATGAGTCAGACTTGGCAACGTACTTACCGACTCTGTTTCTAAAAACTCAAATTTCTCCTTGTCAAATTCTTTAACCTTCTCACGAGACTATGAAAATAGAAGGAAAGAAACATTTCAAGACGACGACTATAGAAAACTGGTACTTGTTTGTATCTCTTATGGCACTTCCACCACGTATAAACAGAACATTTCAATACTTTGATACAAAACTCCCTGGTGTCACAGAATGCAAAAAAGTGGCCATTGTATCTAATTTAAGGTATGAAACTGTGCTCCTGAGGGCCTGGATTTAATAAATCTTTGCAGATGGCTTAAAAAGAAGCTTTTCGGGACAATATCAGATTTTTTTGTTATCGAAGTTTTGAAGTGTGAATCGTAGTTTTTGCCAAGGGACCTTCAAAACTCATAAAAATGTATTGTCAGGTTTTCCAGTTTCTTAGGAGATTGGGAACTCGCTGCAGTTTATAAAATCGGTGAGTAACTTTCGATGGTTTTACCATATTTAATTATTATCCTTATATGGTAGAAACGTATATCTGATCCTAACAAGCAATTAGAAGCACCTATCAAGCGAACAGGGGTCCATACTTTTTTTCACTTGTGTATTTTGCTACATTTTTTGATCGACTTATTGGAACTTTTTAGCACTTCTTAAAAAATTTTTTTATGTACTTTTTATAAAATTTAACATTTTATAGCCTAATGTAGTCCTTTTCCCTAAACCTAACCCTTTGACTAGAGCTACAAGTGTAAAGCGCCTTAACTAACTTGACCACGAGGCCGATTATGCTGCCAAACAACGAATTGTTTGTGAAATTTAAAGTATTTTGCATCCCTAATATTACCGGTAAATTGGGACGCTATTCGCTTGTTAGCTAATACCATTTATTATATACATATCGATGAGATACCAGGTTTTCTCTAGTTGTGAAAATGCTATATTTTGAACCATGAAAAGATATCATATCTTTCACATGTGAAGATATCATTGTTGGCATGGTGACACTGCA